CTGGTGCGCAGCATCGCCCACTTCCAGAGCCAGGGCAGCCGGGAGGCCGAGCTGCGCCTCTACGTCTCGCAGGTGACGCAGGTCAGCGGGTTGCTGCGCAGCGTCTGGAAGGCCGAGCCCGACACGCTGCTGCCCTCCCTGCAGGAGCTCTTCGCCGTCATCTCCGCCGCCGGTGAGCGCCGCCGCCGCCCCCCGGGAGGGAGGGAGGGGTGCGGGGTAGCCTGGCGCTGGAGGAGCTTTGCCGGCGGAAAGGGAAAGCCCTGCCCCTAGCATCGGGACCTGGGCAGGCGTTGCCTTGGAACCCTTGCTTCAGCGCCCGCATACCAGAGCGCGACTTTTCGGCCGTCCAGAAAGCAAAACCTCCTCCCGTCCCCCGCCAAAGTAGAGCTAGAGGGGAAATGGGGATTCGCTTAGCTGCAGAGTAGCATGGATTTTTAAAAAAACTCCTGTGGCAATGCTTTAAATCATGTACTGGAGCAGAGTTTTGGATCTACTCTTAAGAAAAACTGAAACTCTCAGTATCAAACACTGCTTTTCCTCCTTGCTCCCTCCAGAGCAATGCCTTGGGTCTCCAAACTGTTCAGTCTGCAAAACTTGGGTATATTGAAGGAATATATGTAACATAATGCAGTACTTGGGTGTCATAGGAAAGATTCACTGCCTGAGTAATGTAGATCCAATTGTAAGCAGGTCCATTCTGACCGCAAAAATCTATGAAGTGCTGTAATGGCTCACGTTAGAAAGTGCCTTTGCTGGTCAGGCACCAAAAAGACAAACCACTTCTTAGTTCTGTTGAGGTTGAAGGAGTAAACTTGCAGATGGTCACTTCCTTGCATGGACATCAGGTGAACAGAGGAGAACATTCAGTGCTGTTCATTGTCCTTAATCTGTTCAAACTTTAAAGCTTTGGGTTGTGATGATAGAATGTTAGATGTAGGATACACTCTGTCTCAAAACTTTACAACTCTAGTGAAGTTGTAGGATTGAAGATAAAGCACTTTTTTTTTTTTCTCTGGGGTTTTCTTCTTAGTTTCTAACCTTGTGTCATTTTCAACTGTTGCAGACACTTCATTCGAGCCTTCTGTTGCCCTGGCAAGTCTGGTGCAGCACATACCATTACAGATGATTACAGTGCTCATCAGGAGCCTCACTACAGACCCAAATGTGAAGGATGCAAGTATGACTCAAGCTCTGTGCAGGTACTCCCTTTCATTGTAAAGGGGGGGAAGGGTCCCTTTTGTTTACTCCTGACATCTTAACCATAAACATCTTGTGCTTAAATGTCCCACCTTATAGGAGATGGGATTAAAAGGCAACTTCACAGGTTTATAGTCAGGCTGAGAAAGAAGCCCTTGTTTTCACAAGTTTTTCACAAGTTCAACCTTTCTGCTTTTCCAGGGAGCAGAGTGGTTCTCTGACATGATTGTCTTACCCATCATCTTTTCCTCTGAAGAAAGAACTCAGTTACAAATTAGTTTTACTATTTAACTTTGATTTTTTTTTTTCTGCTTAGATAACTTCATGACTTTTTAGTAGGAGTCATAGGGGACAGCCTCTATTTCCATCTTCACTCAAGCTTCTAGGAGTTTCCTTGAATGTTCTTGTTATAATAGAAGAATAGGAAAGAATTTTAAAATAATTGCATATTATGCTTCTTGTCATAATCTAAGCATGAGTAAACACTGAGATTAGTAGCACTGTTAACAGACTGTGAATTCAGATTGCAATCTTGGTTAGTACCTTCAGATATGTGAATAATAGTGATGCAGAAAGATCACAGTGGGAGAAAGATGAAGACCTTGAAGTTCTTTGAATTATTTTTTTAAAAGTCTATAGAAGTAGTTGTTATTGAGCACTGAAGGGCAGAAAAATGAGTAGAACAGTTAAACAGGAGACTGTTAGTAATCTATATTGTTTAAAAAAAAACTTTCTAAAAGCTTTTCAACTAAAAATTTTAATGTCTGCTGGATTGTTTTTTAACTGCATCCATTAGAGTGTAGTGTAATAGCCATTCATGTAGTACAGCACTTGGATATCTTGGTGAAATACTGGAGTTGTTTTCACACTGAAAACATTCCTTGTATTTACATTCCAAATTCAACACAATTAACAAGAAGCAGCAGCATTAATATTGTAATTTGAGGTAAGACATACTTTTTAGGGGCAGGAGAGATTTTAAGGTAGCTATGTGCCACATCTAAAATTCAAAGCTGAGAAATTCAGGAGGATTTGTGCATGCTGATCATTTGCCAGTAATGTGATTAGTTGTTGTCTTAGTGCAATTTGACATTTCTGTTGTATCCCCTGCTTCAACACCAAGTGATTGTGTAGCTGTAGCTCTAGAATGGCTTCTCTATAGACCTCTGTGTAGGGGAGTAGTGCAGTGCTGACCTTTGGGTATAATAGGAGAAGCTATTATCAGATAAGTGCTTTTTCTTAGTACTAGCTGAGTGTTGGGGTTTTTCCTCTTGTTTTAAAAAGGGCAGTGCAATCTTACTTGCCTTGTTCATTCTTTGAAGTAGTACTTGATTTTAAGAGCCTCTAGTTCTGTTCATGGAACTAACCTCATAGGTACCCTGTGTGATTTTTGTTTCTAGATGCTCTCATGGCAACACTGTAAGCAATTTCTTTCTCTACCTCTGGCAACCCTTTGTAGTAATTACTCTTTTCTGGCTTAGAGGAGTGATTCTGAAGAAGACAGTGCAGCTGGAATGTCTGGAGTGCCAAATGACAGTTGTTGTCATCAGGCTTTCAGCATTCCCAGGAGATGCAGAGGGTCTCCTGATGAGAGTTAGCAGAGCTTTGGTGACAGGAAATTAGACCTTGTTGTTCCCTTCCTGAGCATGACTTCCTTGACACTGCAGAGTCTGTCTAAAGTTGAACAGATTAGTAAATCTGTAATTAAGACTAATAAATTGAATCTATTCAATGAGGTGTTATATTGGGCACGGGCTAGTATCAGAAGAGGTGCTTGCTTTTTGGCATCATTGAGCTGTTCTTAATTGGCTGAGCTGTTCTTAATTGGCTCATCTGTCCCTTGAAACTTTACCTGAAGCATCAATGAGGAAAAGCAGAGAATTGTTGAATCTCTTCTGGGATATGTGGCCCTATTTGAAGGGTCTACTTCAGAGGTCTCAGAGGAAGCTGGCTGCCTATACTCAGTACCCTGAGGAGTATAATGGGGTTTTTTTGCACTATAGCCCAAATATCTTTAAGAGAAACTGAAAATTGGGATATAGAAACTCCAGTCATGACCAGGCCCTTTGCCCTCTTGGTAAAAATGTAAAATATTGTAAAAGATAAAAGTGTGTTGGTGTTTGGGGGTCCTTGGTAGTCTGAAAATCCTGTTTTGGTTTTGTTGGGTTTTTTTTGTTTTCTCTAATTTGAGAGATTTGTAGCAGCTGCCATATTTTTTGTCTGATGTGGGGAAGAAGATATTTTTTTGAAAGATGTTATTGCCTGAGGTTGCACAGATACATTATTTTTTTTCCTATCCAGAGGCACTAAAAATACTGGCACATTTATGGCTAGCAGACCTGTTCAATTCAGAGTCATGAGACAGAAGGGTCCTGTTGGGGCTTTTGAGGTTCTCTTAATCTGATCAAGTGCAAAAAAAAGTCCTGTGTTTTTATTTGTGATTAACACATCCCATATTAATATCTGCCTTTGTATTAAAAATGGATGGGAACAGAGCCAAGTAAATGTGATGCAGAGAGATTTAGTAACCCAAATGTCTAATGTTCCCCAGTTTTGATGCTTTTGAGGACAATCACAAGTATGTCTGCAAGCATACTTCTGTTTCCTCTTCTGGCTTTTGTTTCTGCTCTGAATTTTGTGTAATTTCAGAGCAATGATTATCATGTTGCCATGTTTTTTCCCATGCATTTTTTTGTGGTATCATGGAAGAAAACTCCTAAGATCTGTGCTTGATTTTTTTTAAGAGTCCTACTGATTCCTTGGTTTAGAGAAAACATTGAATGTTGTATGTGCAGATAGTACCTAAGTCTAAGACACATAAATTTTAGAATGTGTGTACTATACATTTTTCAGATCCAAGTTATAAACTCTTACATAAGTTTTAGGTTGTTGATGATAATACCTACACCAGAATGCATGTCTGGTGTTGCTAAAGACCATGGGTTTCCTTTTTAGTTTAGAACCTCAGGTCTGAAACCCTGATTTCAGTCTGTTCAGAGCTCTCTTAGTTTCCAGGCAGAACATGTAGAGGTTGATAGCTTTGCCTCAGGTGGATAATCCCTAACTGCCTGTTCACAGTGATAGTGACTCTTTATTAAACTAGTTACTTGTAACCTGTTCAGTTCTGTGCTAGAATTTAGCATCCTAGAATAATTAATCTTTGAGGAGCTTTTTTCAGCAAAGAAATACCCTTCTGACTTCCCATTTTCACTGAATTATTCTGAATCTTCTTAAGAATGTTATTCTTCATTATTATACCATGGAGTCCTTCTTGCATGGATGGAGTGAAGCCTTGGGAGGTCATCTGGTGCAATCCTGCTCGAGGCAGGGATGGCTTCCAGGTCAGACCTTCTTGCTCAGGGCCATATCTGGTGGAGTTAACAACTTTCTGCAAGGCTGGAGGTGCCTTGGCCTCACTGTGTAACTTGTTTCAATGTCTCATCACCCTCACCATGGAAAAATTTTTCCTTCCACCTAATTAGTGGTGCTCCATCTGGCTTGAAGAAGGGGATATTGTGGACAATTAAAATCCAAAATACTGCCCAGTAAAACCTCCAAAGACTAAATGTCATGTTTTAGCTGGCATTTATCATGTCTTCTGTGTCAGAGAACTGCTTCAACTAATTTGCCTCTCTGCCTGAAGTACCAGTCTAAGTGGGCTATTGATTTGAAAGGATAGGATGCCCTTTTTTTCCACTGCTGACATTTCACTGTATTTTCTAGGAACAGATAAATTCCCTTCACTTTTTCTGTTTTGTAGCTGTAGTGAAATCCTTCCTTTTGAGGCACATGTAGACCCCAGGCTGCTAATAGCTATTATAAGATCCTTCTCATACCTACTGCAATGTGTTTATAATGACTAGATTTTTACTTTTTTTTTAATTGAGTGTTTGAGTTGGCTTCCAGGACTGTAGTTTTAAGTTGAAGAGGCTTCCTTTTCAAATTTAAGCTTATTGTTGTTGGTTTTGGTCTGGTTTTGGGTAAAAAGTTTAGGAGGGGAAGTTCCTAGGTACAGGCACTTTTTCACCTGTAGTAGTAAGGTTTTACCCCAAAATGAAAATGTTAGCTTCATGCCTATCAAGCCAAGATTCCTCTTCTTAAGTAACAATAAGTGTATAAAATTAAAATATTATGTATATTAGGTATTTTGGGGGGCTTTTATTGTAGTGTATCAAATAGGTCATTAATTACAGAATTAAATGACTTGATCTAATCAAAATTGTTTTATGACTGGCCTAATGTTCTTGGATTGTTTCATGTGAGACTGTAAGTGTGTAACTAAGTAATATATAGAATCGTTTTGTTGAAAATTAGTGGCCTCCTGAGGTTTGTTTTGTTTTGTTTTTCATTAATCTTTCAGAATGATTGACTGGTTGTCCTGGCCTCTGGCTCAGCACGTGGAAACATGGGTGATTGCCCTGCTGAAGGGACTGGCTGCAGTCCAGAAATTCACCATCCTCATTGATGTCACTCTGCTGAAGATTGAATTGGTATGTTGGAAAAGAACCTTCAAAATTGCAGGAGAGGGAAGGGAATTTGTAACAGCTACACAACTGCTTAGCCTCTTTTGTATTGCAACAGATATTATAGTTCTGCCACAATGATGTAAATGTGTCTGCAGCTTTCAGTTGCCTGGAGTGCTTCCATCTGTTTCAGATGGTTGTGGATTTGGAGACCTGTTTACATTTTCCTGCAGTTTCACTTACTGGATTTACTGAAATCAATGTGGATTTTTTTAGGTCTTTAATCGACTTTGGTTTCCTCTAGTGAGGCCTGGTGCCCTTGCTGTCCTTTCCCACATGCTACTTAGTTTTCAGCATTCTCCAGAAGCTTTTCATTTGGTAAGTTACTAAAGAAATGGTTTTCAGTTCTTTGAAATGTCTTTCATGTGTGATTTCTAAAGTGGGTGTGAAGAGTAACAGAATTTACGTGCTTACATTTCCTCTTTGCTTCAAGGTTCCAGCATCAGATTTCTGTGGTGCACAGACCACTAGTCTTTTGAACTCCCAGGTTCAACCATTTCATGCTCATTTCCAGCTGCAAATTTTTCTTCTTGATATGCACATATTTCTGGCAGTAGTATCTGGGCACCACATTTTATCTTTGACCATAGACTTCTAGAAACTCATTTGATGTGGTGTGAAGTCCACTGATAAAGTTGGGCTGCAAATAAACTTTCTAGCATGACTATTTGGAGAAAATAGATAAGTAATTATCTGCTATGTATACCCTAGTCATGCTGGAATAGGTACAAGAGGCCAAATAATACCTCATTTTTCAGAATGCTGTGCTATGTGTGTTTTAATGCACATATGGCCAAACTGAAGGATACTGGTTTTAAAGTCTCTTCTTCAAAATGCAGTTCACCAGTTGAAGTGGTAGATACTAGGGGATGATGACTGCTCATAGGAGTACAGCATGATGTATAGTACCTTCCTTATTCTCATACTTGTTGTTTAGATTAAAGTTTAAATGAAATAAGAGTCTTTCAGACAACCATAGTAACAGGCTGGCAGTTTTTCTAAGATGTCCCCAAGGCTCTTAGGCCTGAAGGGGTCACAAACCCTTTGATCAGGGTCAGAATAATTACCTTATACCAGTTACACTCTTTTTCAGTGATAGAAATCTGAAGTTTCTCTCTCATCCCTCTGCTGCCCTAATCTTGGTCTAGGATAGAAATTTGGGTCACAAATGAAAAAGCCAAGTAGCCTTGAATATGCTCAAAACATAAATATTTCCTGTCATGCTTTTCTTTGCTTCTGAGAGACAAAACATTGAGAAAAATTTAAAATTTAAGAGGGCTTATTCTAGAATTGGGCATTTGCTCTAATAAGGAAAATTTCTACTATAGGCTATATGCAGTATAGCATAAACATCAAGATTTTGTGACCATTTTCCCTCCATTTTAGACAATCTTCTTCACTATCATTTTTTGAGCTACTGCTGTCATTTAGTATCCTGTCATATTCTGCACTTCAGCTGCTTGATTACTTTTTTAAAACAGATGATCTGAATGTAAGATGGTTAAATTCACATTTGATAAATACAAATGAATTTTTGCAGTGCATCTGAGTTAGCATTCTCCTCCTCTGTGGAGAAGAGTACAGTTTTTTCTCTGAGATGTAAAAAGAGTCTGTATACTTAGAGCTGATATTTGACAAAGTGGCAAATGAGTGTTTTGCACCTGGCCCCTTTGATGGTTTGAATTATATCAAATTTTGTAATTGGTATACTTTAAAATTATAGTAGTCTTATAATTCCTGTTTTCTATTATACATCTTTATGAACAAACAATTTGGAAGCTAATTTGTGATGAGAAATAATTCCATCCACTGCTTCCCCACCATCTGACAGAGGTGTCTTAAAATATTTTAGTTCACAGTGAGAAGTCCCTACTCTTTGGGACTGCATTGAAAGAACTTTCTACTTGATTTAAGACTAATATAAAAAAATCTCATGCATTTAAAACTACACACAGAGCTGCCCTGAAGAAGGGGAAGGAGGTTGGGTAAACATTTCTGCTTTATACCCAATTAGAAATAGTAATGAATCTGAACTAACCTTCAGTTAGTTTGCTGTATCTGTGCTAAGTTTTTTTTCTTGAGCTGCTGGCCAGTCCCTGTCTGGGTTTGAGCCTGGCTCCCTCACTAGGTGGAGCTGTGAGGCAGTTTTGGTCTGGTACACTGAAGTAGAGGGAATGTGTGCATTGGCTTTGGATCCCAAACATTAGAATTTGTTTAAAGAAAATTGAGAGGCTTGTTTTAAAAACTGTCTGTGAAGTTAGAACAGGATACTGCACTGTTAGTGGTGGCACAAAAGCAAAATGTTTGCTGTTAATACCCTTAATAAGAAGAGTACTTCAGACTCTTGACCATTAAAAGTCTCAGCATGCATTTTATAAGTTCATAAAGTTCCAAAACTTGATGTGAGCTAGAGAGTGTTGAATCATTAATTGTGCTGTTTGATAATTGCCATGGGTAAGAACAATAGATGTTTTTCAGGTCATTGTTTCACAACCACTTAAGAACAAAAGATCTATCATTTGGCATGTGTTAAAAAAAAAAAGGAAAGATGCAATTAATGCATGTTCTTGTGTGTTTGTTTTCCCATTCAGATTGTCCCACATGTGGTCAGTTTGGTTCATTCCTTCAAAAGAGATGGCTTACCTTCCAGCACAGCATTTCTGATGCAGCTGACAGAGCTGATACACTGTATGATGTATCATTATTCAGGATTTCCAGAGCTCTATGAACCCATTCTGGAAGCTATTAAGGTATATTAGGAATATTAAGAGGATGGAATGTTTTCATTTTGTTTTCCCAAATATGAAAGCTGTAATCCCACAGATCTAAATTCTTTACAACTTCCACTGGGAGGAAAGAGCTAGCTACTTAATCTAATGCCAGTTCTGACAGTGTTTGGAATATGCTAGAAAAATTATCCCAAGTGTCTGTGATGGGATTAAAGAAGGCTTTTAGAAAAGCCTGAAATGAGATCCTTTATTAAAAGTACAATCTGATTTCTAAAGCCTTGTGTAACTATTAATAATGATGTTTATTCTAGTAATTGTAACTCTTCAGAAGTTCAGAGCACTGATAGTATTAGTGAAGTAGGTCTGAGGAGTACCTGGCATGGTGTCAATCTTTGGTTAGCTCCAAAACACCATGATGAAGCACTATATCTTTATACTGCAATCAGTCTTGCATGTCTCTGTGGGTACAGGATCCTGGCCCATGCTGTTCCAAAGGAAATTTCAGCTTTTTCAGATAGATATGTATGCATTATGCACTTAAAAGAAGAAATCACTTTAAAAAAAAATCAATAAAACAATCCCAAATCAAAAAAAAATTGTGGAAAAAAAAAATACCAAACAAACAAAGCACCAGAACCCACTTGGGTGTTACTGCTTCATTTTATAGCAGTAGTATTGCAGTTAAATATTTAAAAAAAAAAATCAATTATATCTCAAGTATTCTGGATTTTCATTCATTCTTACATTTTGATTTGACAGAGCAGGAGTGTATTCCTAGCAGAACAGAAGATGCTTTAGGGCTATAAAGCTTGAAATTTGAGTGTTTTTGGTGGCAGAGAGGATGCTGTGAATATGCAGGTCAAAGGTGACCACCAACCTGTAATTCCTGCAGTTTGAGAGTTCAGTAAAGAAAACTTTAAAGAAGAGAGTTTGGGGTGGATTGTATCTTTTAGGCTATCAGGGATAGCAAGACTCTGGAGGAAAATACAGGAGAAAGTGAAGATATAAGACTGTTCAATGGCAGGACTTTTTATAAAAGCAAATACAAAAGCCTATTAAGTGTGTTTAAATGTTTTTCTTGTAGGATATGCCCAAACCCACTGAAGAGAAGATTAAGTTGATTCTCAGTCAGAGTGCCTGGACTTCTCAATCCAGTTCTTTGCCATCTTGTTTATCTAGACTTTCTGGAAAATCTGAAACTGGGAAGACAGGTCTAATTAATCTAGGAAATACTTGCTACATGAACAGTGTTATTCAGGCACTTTTTATGGCTACAGAGTAAGTCCTTTTTAACAGTTCTTTTCATTACAAATTAACTCTTGCAGTTGTTGCATTCTTACTTTTTACTGAATGTTAACATGTCTAGAATTCTCTCAGCTTGGTAGAGCTGAGTGGGTTTCTTTGCACACAGTTACCAATTGCTTTGTTCAAGTCCATTTCTGAGAAACTGCAATTTTAACCTTAAAAAAACCTGATCCTTCTGTCCAGTATCAAAAGACAAGTCTCTTTTTCCTCATTGTCCTTACTCCCTTCAATACTGTAAAAATTTATGGTGATGCTTCTGTTATCATGTGGAAGCTAATGGAAAAAAAAATAGTGTATTGCCCTTTCTTACATACTTAACACTGTAGAAAACCTATTTCTTTAACTGGTTATTTCCTACTGTTCAATAGTTTTGTATCTGCACTAGAGCAGAACCCAGATATTGAAGGGAAGCATTAAATGTTTTGCTTGCTTTCAAACTGAAGTAATTACCTGAGCTGGAATGACAATGTATGTTATTGTTAGAAACCTAGCAAGGAAACTAAGGTCTGACTTTATTTTTCAGTTTTAGAAGACATGTTTTATCTCTGAATCTAAACGGATGTAATTCATTAATGAGAAAATTACAGCATCTTTTTGCCTTTTTGGCCCATACCCAGGTATGTCAGTTGATTTCATGTGCTGTTTTTAAGCCTCTATCTATGTACCAAAATTCAAGAACAAACATGATGCCATGGGAGTCTTCTGGAATATATTAAAAATAGAAATAATGAATTTTGTTAAATGTTCAGGGTATTTTGTTGGTGCTAGAAAGACAATGGGCACTTCTGTTCTCTTTGATTAATAACAATAAACTTGTTTTGAAGGGAATGAGATTGGATCACCTTAGAAGTAAATTGGTACTTATGAAATACTGTTGTTTTTATGAAGAAATAAAACATTTTTAAGCTTGCCAGCAAGAATAGTAGCTGGTATTATACATAACATCAGGTTTACACTTGCTGCACATGTAATATTGGCATGCAGGATCCACTCCTTGAATTTTGTGGTCATCACCTCTAGTACAAAGATAAATGATGCTCTGTTGGTATGGTACACAAATGTTTAAGTCATTTCATCATGTTTCATAGAGTTCCTCTAGAATAATGTAGTCCAAAGCTGAGTGGTCAATATCAAAATAATATAACCAACTTTTCAAGTGATTCTTATGTAACCTTGTCTGTCCCTCTCTCACATGAACAGAGGGAGGCATATGCTCCCAGAATTTTCTTTGAGGCTTCCAGACCACCATGGTTCACCCCTCGATCCCAGCAGGATTGCTCAGAGTATCTCAGATTCCTGCTAGACAGGTACAGTTATTGTGCCATTAATGGGAATGAGTCTGCAGTCTTATCACAGAATGTTGAACTTGTGGGAGCAGTCCTGTAGCAGTTCCACTGCATGAGTGGGGACCAGGAATTTTGGGTCTTGTTCCTGGCTGTCTCTGGCTTTCTGTATTGTTTCTGAAACACTTTTCTTCATGGGTATAATCTGTGATCAAGTCTGGATACCATCTTGTATTCACCTCATTTAAAGCAGGTTATACTGTTAGTCATGTTCCATTTTCTTACAAACTTAAACTTGGGTGTTGTGAGTCATGGTCACGTTGTATAATTAATGTGGTTGCTGAAAGCAGTTTAGTTGTGCCTCTGAACTTTCATGTTGGTGGAGACAGCTGCATTTCTCACAGGTCAGAGAAGTCAGGGAGGGATGTACATGCATTTAAAACCAGCTTAACAAACAACCACATTTCACTGTGGCACAGAAAAAGAAAAAACAAACAAACAAAAACCCCAACAAAACAGCAGCAACCCAAAATATCTATATTTTATATTTATTAGTAGCCATTTTTAGTTTTGGATTGCTGAGATGTGGCTTAAGCAATACTGCTTTATGACACATTCCACTTCTGGGGAGGTTTACCTTGATAGGGAAGCAGTGTTCTCTCTCTTTTTTTTTTTTATTTTTTCTGTCTTGGGTTTCTTTTTTCATTTGGTTTTTCTTGCTGTAGCTTCTTAACTTTCTTGGCTACAAAATCCTGACCTTTTCTGTGGAAATAGTCTGGCACTTGATAAATAGCTACTTGTTCACTTACAAAATCTGACATACAGAACCAGTCAGCTGGAGAACTGATTTATTAAGATAGTGTAATGGTAAATAATAAAAACATTGTTAGGTTTTTTTTAGCACTTGCCAGTTTTCTCAGTATGTCCATTGTGTTCCCTTATATATAATGAAACCCACATTAAATGCATTTGTGCTTCTCTCATGCTGTGTCTTGGATAGTATTAACCTGTATTATTCAGCTTGCTTATTTAAAAAATAATAAACAGCTTTTTTAATTAAGACCCTTTTAGCCACTTGACCATCTGTATTTTTTAGCATAACTGAAAAAAAACCTGAAATGCTGCAGCAATATTTGTTTGGAAAATAGCACACTACTTGGATTTTTCTTTGTCTCCAGGCTGCATGAAGAGGAGAGAACCTTGAAAGCATTATCTTCAGTAAAGACTTCTGAAAGTATAATGAATGAAGAGTCCCAGACACAAGAACCTGTCCATAAAGCACAAGTATTTGCTGAAGCACCTTGTATTGGAAGTGAGGAGAGAACTCTGATAGAAAAGATGTTTGGAGGGAAACTGAAGACTACTATATGCTGTTTGAACTGCAAAAGTATGTCCCAAAAGGAAGAAGCTTTCACAGATCTCTCTCTAGCTTTCTGTCCTCCAGTTTCCTTGGAGAACCTTGGCCCAAAAAGTACAGAAAGTTCTGAAGTGAAAGATGACCACGTGGTGCAAACTAGTACTTCAGCAACTAGTCCTGCTGGAGAAACACCTCTCAGTCATTCAGAAGTAAATGGTGATTGTGACACAATAATGAAGGAAGGAACACTAAAAGATTTTTCTACTGAGCCAAACTCTGAGAACACAACAGATTCTGAACTCAACAAAGGTCAAGATCATAGGGATATGTCTCAGAGGCTGGTAGGCAAAACCACTCTGTCAGTTACAGACTTGCTGAACTATTTTTTGGCACCTGAGATCCTTAGTGGAGACAATAAGTACTATTGTGAAAAGTGTGCCTCTCTACAGAATGCTGAGAAAACTATGCAAATCATTGAGGAACCTGAATACCTCATTCTCACTCTCCTGAGATTTTCCTATGACCCAAAGTGTCACATAAGGCGCAAAATCTTGGAGAATGTGTCTCTGCCACTTGTTTTGGAACTGCCAGTCAAAAGAGCAACATCCCCTCTAGCTGTAGTTTCGGGAGGTTGGTCTGTTGGTGTTGAGATTTCTGATATTGGAGAAAATCTGGCTAAAAAACTGAAGCCCTCAGGTGCTGATGAAGTGACCTGCCCACAACTGGTGCCCTACGTCTTGAGCTCGGTGGTGGTGCACTCGGGTGTATCCTCTGAAAGTGGACATTATTACTCCTATGCTAGAAATGTTACTGGGTCAGGGCCTTCAGGCCTCTGCAGCCAGTCTACAGCTCTGTCTTTAGTTTCTCCTCAGGATAAGCTGTTGACAGAGGAGAGTCCTTGTACTGTTGTAGAAAATGAGCTGGACACTGAGATGCCAAAAGAATGGTTTCTGTTCAACGACAGCAGAGTGACGTTTACCTCATTTCAGTCAGTCCAGAAAATTACCAGTAGATTTCCAAAGGACACTGCTTATGTTCTGTTTTACAAAAAACAAAACAGCACCTGTGGCTTCAACTCCAATTTGGCAAATGGACTCTGGGTAAATGGAGACCCTCCCCTACAAAAAGACCTCATGGATGCAATTACAAAAGACAACAAACTGTACTTGCAGGTAAGGTGGAAATGGTATGTGAAGAGTGTTATCCTTAAAACTCACAAAAGACAGTCTAAAAAAGTTAACTTTCAAATATTATGGTATATTAACCTTATAAATCATCAGTCTCACTTCCATCTTGATGTTGCCAGACAGCTTTCATAGTCAGGTGGTCAGCAATAGTGGCTTAAACTCATTTCAGATTAGATTTTTACTGGAAGTGCTTTCACAGGTTGTTTAACCAGTTGTAATTCATGCAGGAGATGCTTTTCAAATGGTTCTAATTTTTATTGCCTTTATATTCTAGCTACTCTTATTACTTTAAAACTTCTTAGTGTTCTTACTAGCACGTTTTCATTTGGAGTCAAATTTTATTTATACAGCTGTGCTTACCTAAATGCTAAAACCACTAAAATGAAGACCAAGTACTAGTGACAAGATTCTGCTTTCTCTTTGCTGCTTGTTGTGCCTCCCTCTGTGGGACCAGCACTGCCAGCCACACGTTCCCTGAGCTCCAAGAGCTTCACCTAGCTGTAGTTGCCTCTTTGATTGCTGTTAGAAAAAAAAACCACACTGTTTTCTGCATTTCAATATGGTTTGCTTTGAGTGTTGCTGCTATGTTTGGATGGTGTAACAGTAAAAGTGTTTTACTATGTGCTCTTTGAGTGGGTTAAGCTGTTCCTGTAAGTTCCAGGCCTACTAAAATTAGAATAGCTAGGTAAATTCAAGTTGGAAAAGAACAGCTAAATCTCACTGTGGAAAATCTGTTACACTAGCTGCAGGTATTTTACAAACAAATAAGAGAACTGAGAGTTTAAATGGCAACTTTGCTGCTGTTTTCAGACTGTGCTTAAAGCATTTGTGTCCTAACCATCTTTTTTTATATGCCAGCTGTCCTCTTGGCTGTACAAGGTAGAACAAAACAGGCTTCTTTAGCAGCTTTATCAGATTATAGAAGCATAGAATGGTTTGGGTTGGAAGGAACCTTTAGTGGTCATCTAGTCCAAACCCCCCTGCAGTAAGCAGGGACATCTTTGTCTAGAACAGATTGCTCAGAGCCCCATCCACCCTGACCTGGAATGTTTCCATGGATGGGGCATCCACCACCTCTCTGGGCAGCCTGTAGAAATTCTGACCTTGACAACACCTTTGGTGCAGATGAGCAGACATGTACATCATCCATTGAGTGGCCTTCTGCATCCAGAGCCTCATACCTGTTGTACAGAGGCACCTGGGAAGGTGAGGTAGGCAAGGAAGGGGTTCACCTGCTACCCTGAGCACAAACTTGCCTCCAAGATAACATCATCCCTTCAGTCAGAATTGTTGTGACTTCCAGTGATGCAAGAGTGCTTTCATTGTGAAATGTCAAACTCAAAACCACATCATTGTTTATTTTAGGTATATAATCATATCTTCATTTAGGTAATCAAGTAATAGGCAAAAATCCTTTTCAAGAACACAGCCTGAAGAAAAGTAGTATAACTACTACAGTGCTATCTTAACCTTTTTTATATAAAGCCAAACTTTTAAAGGAGGAGCAGAGTCATTCACCTAGAATATAAATCCTAGTAGCTTCTTACTGGCAT